AGTGAACTAAGGCACCAAGAAGAATGACACAAGACAACAAAAGTCAGTTAAAGAAACTCAGAAAAAGTGAAAGAATTCAGGAAAGAAAAAAAAAAATTACTTCTAAAATAAAAACTAAATTAGGAAGTACATAAGCACAAATGAACAACACACTTATAATGCAGTCTTTCAAAGGAAATTCTTAAAATCTGAAGTAGAATTAAGTGAAAATCTTCTCTTTGAGAAACAAGAGAATGAAAAGACACCCACGAAACAGTAGAACATTTGCAAAGCATGGATAAAAAAGACTTTCTTCTGGGATAAAGAATTCTAAAAACTCAATATAAAACAACTCAATTTCAAAATGGTCAAAGATTTTTAACAATAAACATGTGAAAAGACGCTCAACTATCATCAGGCATTGGGGAAATGCAAATTAAAACCATTATGTAATATGCATTCAGCAGCACGGCCAAAGTGAAAAACACTGACCACACCAGCACGCTTGAGACTCCTGCAATCACACAAAAACAACCACCACCACCACCACCACCACCACTGCGACTATAGTATTAGAAAAGATATAAAGACGCTCAACTCCCTTAATGCTGGTGGGAATGTAAACAGCTGTAACTACTGTGGAAAAGTTTGGCACTTTATGAAGAAAGTTAAACACACACCTAGAGTATGATCCTGCCTTCCACACCTCAGTGTTTATTCAGTAGAAAAAAAGTGTTAAGTTCACATAAAGACATTTATAATAAGAAAACTGGAAATAATCCAAATGCCATTAAATGGTGAATGTATAGATGCAACAGATATGTCAATCAGACCTCAATAATGCTGTTTAAAAAAAAATAAAGACTTCAAGAAAAAAATGACAAATACTGAAGAAATGCACTGAAAATTCAATATAGGAAAAGTAATCCCTTAAGAAGAAAACCAGAGAAAATAATTCAAGAATCACTTTCCTGAAATGCTTTAAAAATTTTTTTGAACAATTTAAAAATACATATTGAAAGAGCACACCACATTCTTTGACTATACTAAACCAAAATGTCCAGCAAGGTTTGTTTTTTATTTTTTAAATATTCATTTTTTAGTTGGACAGAATATCTTTATTTTGTTTGTGTATTTTTATGTGGTGCTGAGGATCGAACCCAGGGCCTCAGACGTGTTAGATGAGCGCTCTACCTCTGAGCCACAATCCCAGCCCCTGCGACACTTTTTTTTTTTTTTTGAATCTTTAAAACAAACAATAAAATTTTAAAATATGCTAGGAAAAAACCACTGCACTTTAAATTTAAAAAATCCTTTAGGAAGCAAAGTAAAAAGAGCAGATGGTTTATAAGGTAAAAAATATTAAAATACAATCAGATTTTAACAGTAATACTAAGTTAATGGGGGGGAACAATGGAAATAACATGTTTTAAGATATTCAAGGACAGAAAATGTGAGCCGACTTGATTTCCAGCCAAAATATAACCTTCAAGAGTAAAGGCCCAAACATATATAGGAGAACTCAGGAAACACTATCCCCACGAGCCCTGTGGCAAGAATGTGCCAGAGGAGGCTGGAAGTGATGATCAGTGCTACCAAAGCATGAAGTGCAGGTCCTGGGTTCAATACCCAACATCGCCCCCACACCCTAAAAACAAATCTAGTACAGAGTGAGCTTCAGATAACCAAACTGACTACAGACACTGGTGTAAGTACTCACCATGAAACATTACAAATATAACTATTGTAAAACTAACTGACTAAAAAAAAACAGCTAAGAGTTACATTACAGCAATGTGCTCAGACAATGCAGATACAACTACCTTTTTTAAAATGGGGAATAGAAATTAGGTGAGTTTAGGTTAAAAAAAATAATGTTCTTATTGTGCTAGCAGCAATGTAGCATTCTTATATTTTCTGCTGTGCAATGCTAGATAAAAATAATTATAGGATATCCTTGAAAAACAGGATCTCTGGTGTGGAAGAAAAATTCTGTAGTACAGATTTTGAACTACAAGTCTCAGTAAAGTTATTTTTATCTAGCTCTGTTCAAAGAAGAGGCTAGAAACAACAACCAACTGAGTAATAAGCATCTCCAACCCCAAGATTATAGTTTTCAACACCACTTCCCACTAAAGAAAGCAGGGCTTCTTGAAAAATGGCTGATGCCAGGTCTGGGGCAAGAAGTGAGGTTAGAAAAGATTTCCAAGCCAGACAACAAGGTGCCAACTAAGACTACTAGAGTCATGTGAAAAGGACACTGGAGCATACTGGAAGAGGCTGCCACTGGTCACGGGGAAGACAATCTGGGACCATCAAATTGGATAACAATGAGACTCAAATGCATCAAATACCTTTAACTGCATGAGTGAAACCCACATTTGTATTTACGCAGCATATATACTGAGTGTTGTTGAAAACTGTTAACTTTAGAAAAATAAGCTTCACTCAAGAAAATGTCCATTTTCAAAAGTGATCTTTCCAATACAGAAAGTCTGAAGAAGTGGTCCTGGCATCTTCCCTAACTTCCTACATTAGATGTTTTCAAGTAACTTTAATAGACTAAGGAGACAAAGTGTTCAATGTTCCTTAATTTCCCTCCAATGCCTTCCTTAGTACAAAGTCTATACCCATAATTCTAAAAACCGTGAAAGCTAAAAAGTTAAGTGTGTGATCAATTGTTTTTTTAAAAGGAAAACCATCTTTGCTGTCACAGATTTTTTTTTTAATATTTGTTTTTTAGTTGGACACAACAGTTTTATTTTGTTTATTTTTATGTGGTGCTGAGGATGGAACCCAGGGGCTCCAACGTGCTAGGCAAGCGCTCTACTGATGAGCCACAACCCCAGCTCTGTCAAAGGTTTTCATGTAAAAACGGTTTCACAAACTTTTCTCGTTAATGTTTTCTTGGGATTCTTCAGCAACCCATCCATCTTAAAACATCCAAGAGATCTTAATAGTTTTCTTCAGATTTCCACTCTTCTGTTGCAATATTTATAAACTAGACAAAGCTTGTTGTCATCATAAACAAATGAAAGAGGAACTGGGAATGTGGCTCAGTAGTAGAGCATTTGCCTGGCATGCATGAGGTCCTGGGTTTGATCCCCAGAACAAATTTTAAAAAACTAATTAAAACGGTGAAATAAAATAAACAAATGAAAGAGAAACTGCAAATTGCAGCATCAAAATTTAAGGTACACCCATATTTATGAAAAAAGGAAATCAGGCTGGGATGTAGCTCAGTGGTAGAGTATTGACCTAGCATACCCAAAGCCCCAATATGGAGCTCCAGCATCCCACAAAAATAAAACTAAATTAAAAAGCACTGTTTGGGACTACAAGGATAGTTCAGTGATAGAGCACTTGCCTGGCATGTGCCAGGCCCTGGGTTCCATCTTTATGGTGGTGGGCGGGGGAGGAAAAAAAAACCAAAACTAAAGCTAAATATATAAATGCTGGCTACTTGAATACAAATATAAGAACATCAGTCATTTCAATATAAACACTCTTGGTAAATATACAACACCTAATGTAGGGCCAAAATAGGAGTATATGAGTCCTCTGTCATAACTGCCCCCCCCATCAGATAATTTCCCCAGCCACTTAGTGATCTAGTAAGACAGGATATTAAAAACCTATCTTTCAGAAAGTTTCAACTATTTGTACACATTTATGTATTGATAAAAGTTATTTTATCAAAAAGAGAAGGCAGTTTGTACAGATCTGATAAAAATAAAAGGTTTTATGTATTTATCTCCAAATAGTTTGAAATACTCTTGTAGATAAGAAAAAAAAAATCCTGAAAGTAAAATGTTTCTCCTTTACATTATAGAGAAAAATAAGTTTGGACGAATAAGTGATTCAAAACGAACAAAGGAATGTAAGTATTTATATTCTAGGAATTAATTTATTTTCGAAAGATGGCACCTAGTCATTTTTAGGCTTATCTGTATAATAGTAATTAGCTTTCTGTGTTAATTTTTTAAAATATAATGTTCTATAAAAGATTGTAACTGAGGTTAAAATACAGCTTTTTTTCACTACGAAGTTCCATAATTTAAAGATAAGTAGAAATACAAGTCTGAACACATTACAGTCATGTTAGGTTACATCGTGTATTTTTTCACACATTACTGCCTCAGAGATTCTTTTTCCTTTCTAAAATTAGGCTAGTTTTTAGGAGAACTGGGCTACAACCATAAGCAAATCTGGAGAGATGTGAACATTACCTAATAAAAAGAAAGTATACAGCACCCCTTCTGAAGGATACACTCAAACTAAGCAGAGAGCCCACTTAATACTGAACCCAAAGAAACTTTTCCCCCTTCTGATGTCCCCCTAAGAATAGGAAAGATGCCAAAAATGTACTGTCCTCAACAAATTAACTTGGCCAGTGTCAAAACTCCTACCACACAAACTGCAAAACAAATGAACTAAAGTTTTCCTTTTGACAATAGCCCTAACTTTGTAGGTTTCAGATTCAGAACATTTGGAAACAAGCCTAATAAAATGCTGAGTATAGGTAACAACTTAGCTATCTTAGAAAGTTTACAGGACAGTCAAAACTTAAGCATCTGGAATTTGTCAGATAATCACCCTGAGTCCTGAGGACGATAAATAGAAGTTACACTTCAAATAGCAAAAGTCTGGATACAGGACAGTACGAGAAAACTCCAATAAAGATTGAAACAGAGTCAAAGTCACAAAATAAGGAGTACACGCCTGTGACGGCCAGAAGGGGGTCATGATGTCTTTCTCTCTGGTCCTTTCGGGCCAGTCGGTTCTCCAAGAATGCCAAGGCAGACCCACTGCAAACCTGCACGTAAAGGATCTTCTGAAGCCTGGGGCCGAGCACGCACAGAGTGGAACTATACTTGCTTGCTACGTTCTTTAGGTGACCAGGGCTTCTCCGATTTACACACCTACATTATTTGATTCTTCCCAAACACACCTTTTCCCCCTTCGCTAAGCAACTCCGAGTGGTAAGCGGGCCTAGGACGAGGAGCGCGTTTTCAACTCACATTGTTTCTCCAGTCTTGGCGACATGACAAAGAAACTGATCCAGGACGGGACAAACTTCCTTCTTCCCCCTCTTCTCAAAATCTAGATAAGGGAGAGCCGTGTTATCGATGCCTCCCGCAGCTCCCCGCTGCCCGCTCCGCCCAGCCCTGCCCGCCAAGCCCAGCCGGCACAAAGCGGCCTGCACCCAGGCTCGGCCAACAGGTCGGCCTCGGCCGCGGACGGCGCGCCCCAGGGAGCGCCCGCCGCCCGGGCCTGTCGCGCAGGCCCCCGAGTGCGCCCCGGGCCACTGGGAGGCCCCGGCCGCGTGCCCCCGACGACCCGGGCGTCGCAGGACGACCGCGCGGGCGCGCGCCGCCCGACCCGGAGGCGCGGCGCTGCAGCCTGTTGCTCGGGGGCGGCCGGAGCGCTCGGGCGCGCGGAAGGCAGCTCCCCGCCCGCCGCCAGGCCGCCGTCCCGGTGGGCGCCGCCGCCGCGCCCCTCCCCCGCCGCCGCGACACAAAGCGCGCGGCCCCCGCCCGCCGCCGCCGCGGGGTGAGGGATCCGGGCCGCGCCGCCCGGCCGCCGAGCAGCGCGCCGCAGAGGGCGCGCGGCGACCCCCACCTTTCAGCGCCTCCTGCAGCCTCTCGACGTCCATGGCGTCCCGGAGTCCCTCGCCGGCTCCGCCTCCCTCCGCGGGCTCCCGGGCACCGGAGCGCCTCCCCCCACCCCCCCGACGCCCGCCCCCTCCCTCACACACTCCGGCACGCAGGCGACCGGGGGGGCACCGAAGGGAGCCGGGGGAAGCGAGCGAGAGCGAGACCGATAGAGCGAGCACCTCCCCGAGCCACTACCACCAGCCCTCCAACATGGCGCCCGCACGTCACCGCGCGCACGCTCCCCACCGCCGTCCTCGCGCCCGCCCCAGAGCGCGTGCGCGACCGCGGCGCGCCGCCCGGACCGAGAGCGCGTGCGCGGCAGTGGCGCGCGTCGGGCCCCAGGGCGCGTGCGCGGCGCCGCCGGTCGTGGCCCGGTTCCGCGGAGGCTGCAGCCGCGCTCCCGGACTGGGCGAGCCCGACTTTGCCTGCTGCGGGGCCCGGCGACGTTTGCCTGGTCTGTCCGAGCCTGGTCTTCCCCAGTCGCACAGTGAAAGCGCGGTGCCCCACTCTGCCCGGGGCCGACCTCCGAGGCCGTGAGCGCGCGGGAGCTGTCAGGGTCCTGGCACCCTCTGCCGCACCGCTCGGCCGGCCGCTGCCGCCCACCAGGGAGGCGCGCGCTCGGCGCAGGGCTGGAGGCAGGCGCTGGGTCCGGGGGTCCACGTCCCGCTCTGCCCGCGTGACCGTGCCCTGGTTACCCGAGCTCGGTTTCTCACCTGCGCCTGGGACCCGAGGATGGGGGAAGTGGTAACGCGCCCGCCGAGGCCCGCGAAGCTGCCTGCGACCCCCGCATCGCCTAGGCGCCGCGGGAGGGCAGGGACCCCAGCCCCGGCGGGTCACGGTGCGCGACCGTGACAGTCCCCGAGCAGAGAGCGCGGCGAGGCTCCGGCGTGCACGCATCTTTAGACTTTGGTCTGAGTTCACAAAGTCACTCAGTCCCTGCTTTTCCCCAGGACCTGTGGCAGAGTCGTGGAAGGGCGGGAGGGAAGCAGGGAAGAGGCCCAGGGCTTGGCTTATCTCAGAAGGTGCTCCTCTGGACACTGTTGACAGTCTTAAAAAATAATGACTTTGACCCTGACCCTCACCCTAAGCAGTACTTGTAGGAAAAAGCCCCTCATATCCAAAACATCTCTCTCAAATTTCCCCACCTGAGAACAAGTCCTCTGTTTAACTTCCTCAAAGCATCCAGTTCCATTTCAAATGTCCCTGGGCTCAGGGTGCAGCTCAGTGGTACAGCTCTTCCCTAGCATATGGGGGCCCTTGGTTTAATCTCCAGCACCACAAAGCAAAACATGCAAAGGGAGAGGAGTAGAGTGGTATCATCAAGCGCTCAGTCGGTGCTTACCATGCCTGGGGTTAGTTTATCTCGGTCCCTCGTGGTCTGAAGGGATTTCCTGCTTCCAGAGTACAGCTCAGCCTCCCCTTCTCTCTGCCATCTGGTCTACTCTTGCAGCAGGTCTCCTACCTAAGAGCTAAGCTGCACAACACAGTTGCCACTAGCCATGTGTGGATACTTAAATTTAACATAATTAAAATAAAAATTTAAATTCAGTTCCTGAGTTCTTAAATGAAATTCAATTCCTCAGTCACGATAGCCACATTTCAAGTGCTTTATAGGCACACGTGGCTAGTGGTGTCTGAATTGTACAGCACAGTCAAAGAGAATTCATTAGTCCAGAAAATTCTGTTAGAACTTTATATTAGCAAACAAACAAGTTAATTTCTCCCTCTTTACTTTGTCCTTTCCATCACACTCAGTTTCAGACTGAATTTCTTTTGACTCTTCAGAGCCCACTTGGCTCTTCATTTTTGAGGGGTGTTGGTGGGGAGGTTAGGGTCTCACCGAGTTGCTTAGGGCCTCACTAAATTGCTGATGCTGGCTTTGAACTCTTGATCCTCCTGTCCCAGCCTCCCAAGCCACTGGGATTACAGATGTGCACCACTGTGCCCAGCTCTTGTTTTGTTTTTTGATAGTGCTGAGGATGAAACCCAGGGCCTTGTGTGTGCTAGCCAAGCTCCATATCCCTGACTTACACCCCATCCCTCTTCTCTCTCATTTCAAGGCCTTTGATTTTTCTGTCTTAAAGTTTCTCCTTAAAACAATTCAGGTTTCAATTTAAACACCACTTCCTCTGGGATACTTCCCTGGTTCCCTTGGGCTGCCATTGTTGTGTGCACATACCTGATGCAGTGTTTGGAAGTTGAGATGGCAAAGGAAGGAGAGGTAAGAGATGAGGCTAAGGAATTACTTGCCTTGGTTCATTTCTTCCTTGGAATTCTCCAGCCCCCATGTGTCCCCATGTCTGCATTGCTGGAGCCTTGGACCAACTCTTGCTAATTCCCTTGGAGGAAAACAGAATTAAAACATGGCTGCCAGCACCCACCCTTGTCAATGATCCTGCCTCCTGGGATTTCTGCCTTTGAATAAGCTTCACCCAAGCTGAATCAGAGTACTTCCAATGAGTATGGCGGAGGGGATGACATGTGATTTCTGAGGCTAGGTCTCCAAAGGTCCAAGGCCTGTTAGATTGCTCAGTGGGTCTTGATGGGGAACCCAGCTGCCCTGACTGTCAGTCCCTTGGAGAGACTCACAGAGGGAAGCACCAAGGCCTTGGGAGTGGATCCTCCACCTCAGGAGTCCCTTCAGATGACTTCACACCCAAGTCACATCAGGATCACAACTTTAGGAGAGATCCTGTGCTTGAACAGCCTAGTTAAGTCATTTCCTGATTCCTTATGCAAAGAAACAATGAAAGACGAGAAATGTTTATAAGTGTTCTTAGCTTCTAAGTTTCAGTATGATTTGTTATGTGGCAATAGAAAACTAATGTAACAAATAAGAAATTAAATAGTAACAATATTAAGTTTTTTTTTCTTGGTGGCTGGCACTATTCTAAGAACTTTACAAAAGTCCTTTGAGATAGTGACATTATTATCCCCACTTCACAGAAAGGGAAACAGGTATAAAGTGGTAAAATAACTTGTGGAAGGTCACATAACTACCCAGGCCAGGGACTCGCCTGTGAGTCAACCCCAGGCTGGCTTCTGAGTCCCCAAATACTGTCTCATCCTCAAGAAGTTTACAAAATGCCAGGAGAGACGAGACATAAGTACAGACCCTGATGCAGGCCAGCAGACGAGTATGTGAACCAGGCATTCGGAGGCCTGCCAAAACTCTCCCAGGCACGTAGGGAAGGTGTCTTTTATTTGTATTCATTTTTATTTCTTATTTCTGTATTTATTTATTTGTTTGAGACAGAGTCTCACTGTGTTGCCCAGCAAGAATGGGCAACTCTTAATCCTTGGCCTCAGCTGCCCAGGCAGCTGGGATCACAGGTGTGTAGCACTCTTCTGGCTAGAAGTGGCTTTTCAAGAGGGCCTCACTTAAAGACTGGAAAGATGGGTACCCACAGAGAAGAGCCCTTCAGAAAACAGGAATAAAGTGGAAGGAGATATAAAGAAGGGAGGAGACAGTGGAGAATCTCTCTTTCCCCATGGAGCTCATGGTCGAATGGAGGAGGTCAACCTTAACGATTTCAAACATGCAGAAAGACTGGCCAGAGGGAAAGACCCAAGCCTGGAGACGATGCAGTATTGGTAGTGGAAGATGGAAACAGAAGAGGAGGAGAGAAGGGCCAGAACTAGGTCAGAGAATGTGTGGGAGGATCCTTTTATAACCCTAGCAAGAACTTATGGGTTTGGTTGTCCTTCTGAGAGGAGTCTGTGGGAAGGAACAAGAGGAGACTGAGAACAAATCTAGAAAAACTAACATCCAGTTGGAGAAGGGGAACAGTCTGGGTCAAAATACCACTCTCTGGGCTGGGGTTGTGGCCCAGTGATAGAGCACTTGCCTGGCATGTGTGAGGCACTGGGTTTGATCCTTGGCCCCACATAAAAAAGAATAAAGAAAATAAAGGTATAAACAATGTAAAAAAATACCACTCTCTTTCTGCTCAGCACAAGAAATAACAAAGTGAAGAGAAAACTTACATAATAGGAGGACTTGTTAAAGGTTCATCATCATTAACCATCAGTGAAATGTTAACCAGAACCACCATGAGATGAGACCTCTGTGCAGTAAGAATGGCTAATATCAAAAAGATTTGAAATAACAAGGGCTTGCGAGTGTGTGGGGAGAGGGGAGCCCTTGCACACTGTTGGGGGCAGGATAAATTGCTCAGCTATTATGGAAAAAAAACGTGTGGCAGTTCCTCAAAAATTGAAAAATAGAACTCCCATATGATCCAGCAATCCCCCTCCTGGATCTGTATCCAGAGGAAGTGAGACGGGTATGTTGAGGAGACATCTGCTCTCCCGTGTTTACTGCCTCACTATTGACAGCAGCCAAGACATGGAAACAGCTGAAGTGTCCATCAATGATGGATGGACAAGGGACATGAGGTACCTATATACAATAGAATACGATTCAGCCATAAAAGGGAAGGAAATCCTGCCATTGGTAATAACATAGGTGGAAATGAAGCTCTTCATCTTAGGCAGAATAAGCCAGGCCCAGAAAGAGACAAGGACCAAGTGATGCCACTCATAGGTGCAATTTCAAAAGGTGGGTCTTGGAGATGTTGAGAGTAGAATGGTGATTAGCAGAGGCTGGTGGGGGGACAGAGGGAGAGGGTGATCAATGGGTGCTGAAGCTGCAGTAGGGTCCAGGAGCTATGGATGATAATAATGTACGGGCTATTTCAAAAAGCTAGAAGAAAGGAATTTTAGTGTGTTCACCATAAAGAAATGACAAATGCAGTTCCTGCAAAGCTGTGCTGCTCTATGCCCATGACACTAGCAAGAACCCAAGAGCTGAGCATTGGTACATCGCCTTCATCTGACCACCAGGCCTCTCTTACCGCACACCCATCCACTCAGTGGTGTCCTTTATAAGACAAGAATCCAGGCCAGACTCGTATGTTTCACTCCCATTTCATTTTTGCTTGAGACAGGGTCTCACTATGTTGCCTGGCTATTTTCAAACTCCCGGGCTCTAGCAATGGTCCTAACTCAGCCTCCTGGGTGCTGGGACCACAGGTGTGCAGACCCCTCCATGCCCACCTTTGCTTCACTCTCTAAAAAGAAATCCATTATTGGACTCAGGGCCCATCCATGTCATGCAGAATGAAGTCCTCATTGAGGACCCTTAATTTAAATGACATCTGAAGGCCCTTTTTTCAAATAAGGGAGACTTCCTAGGCTCCAGGGAATGGGGCTTAGC